TTCACCACACATTCTGCTTACTGCCTTCAGCACTCTTCTCAACACACCAAAACCTTCTTTTAAAAACCCGAGAAATAAGATGGGGAACAGAAAGGAATAATACGTAGTATGAAAGAGATCGGGAAATCATAAAGTAATGTCAAGGGATACCAAAGCATATAGTCTCTTTATAAATAAGTTGAATGGAAGCTTTATTCGATGTCATTAAACTTGAGAAGATCAGAGAGATTAGGCAAAATTCACATTAAGATAGACGACCTTCGATATGACTTTTATAACAAATTTCCAAGAGCACAGACTTTGTGGGATTCAACAGGGTGTTTAACAACTTTTCATGTCGCAGGCTAAAATTAACAGTTTGACATTTAGAAGATTAAGTGTGAGACCATTAACAACAGACTATCGTTTCAGTCAGAGAGAACAGACAATTCATTCTAAGAGGTGTACAGAGGCAGGAATCGGTGTACATACAGCTATCGATGTCACGACTGAAAAATTGTTTAGTAGTAGTGGTCTTGCAATAGAGTCGAAACACAAGTATAGTCTACAAATGCGCATCGAACATACTTCTTACCTAATCTAAATTGAATACTGTTATTTACTTATTTATTTGAACACATAAATATTGGTACAAGCGACACCCATTATATATGCGCCACACAAAACAACGAGAATTCGAAGAGGAAAAAAAAGAAGGTAAGGAGTGTAAAAAAAGAATAGTGACGAACAGATTAGTGTAAGGTAGTGTAATAATAATAATAATAACGGAGGAAACGGAAAGGTACAATCAGAAGAAATCTTTCAGTTATGGAAGATACAACCACTTTTTATGAAGAAAGTAAAAGAAGGTTACAGCAGCATCGCCACTGGCTTCTATTCTCAGCCATATCTGATAACGTCTCTAGCCATTGTGTTGCACCATCTCTCTGATCCCAGCTAGGGAGTCGTGAAGGACCAACACAAGTCAGCCCTTTGCAACTTTCTTTCATACCACGACACCATGTCATACACTGACCACCTCTCCGCTTTTTCCAACCAGTCCCAGCGTTGGAAAATAATGCACGACGTGGAATTCTCTGGGACAACATTCGTAGAACATGTCTAAGCCACCGAAGTCGATGTTTCAAGATGGTGACACCAATTGAATTATCGTCTCTGTGCCCGAACACACGATGCTATGTTATCCGTTCACAGCTATCTTTAAAGAATTCTTCTCATCTAATCTCATACCAAAAATGTGGAGAAAGATGAAGATAATTCCTGTACCCAAGAAAGCATCTGGTGATAAGAATGTAAAATTTAGACCTATTGCAATAACTTCACCCTTCCTCAAAACAATGGAAAAATTATTAATACTTCCACTTCAGCCTGCGATAAAAGAGCATATTGATCCATATCAGTTTGCTTACAGACACAAAAGAAGCACTTTAGATGCTGTTGCTGTTCTGCATCACAACATAGTGTTCAACTTAGAAAAGGGTCAGCAGTATGTTCGATGTGCTTTTCTGGACTATGCTTCAGCTTTTGATTCTATACCAAGATAACGTTTAATTAACAAGTTAGTCAGCGTCAACACTGACAGCTGGATAACTAACTGGCTATGTTCCTACCTCTCTGGAAGAGAACAGTACACTGTGTTTGGAGGAAAGTGTTCAGAGTCTCTACTGTCTCATGAAGGTGTACCACAAGGAGCTGTTCTTTCTTTTCTCTTTTTTTCTGCATGACCTGCCATCTTCCACAGAAAACACTTTTTTGAAATATGCGGATGATCTTACTGTATGTATGCCTATCTCTTCCTCTTTACATCCCATAGAAATGAATGAGTTTTTGTCTCGTATTGATTGTTGGTCTGTTGGTAATGGTCTCATACGTAATCCGTCTAAATGTCAAGCTGTTAACTTTAGTATGAGACATGAACGGAATCTAAACACCATTTTGAGATCCCATAATGCTTGTACCATCGGAGACTCTTTGATATACACGGTGTCGAAGGTCAATTATCTTGGTGTCACCTTTTCCTCTGATCTGTCTTGGTCTTCCCACCTTTTATTGTTATCAAAGAAGGTTTTCCGTCTGACCTACTACATAAAGAGATTGAATGCTCTTGGGATTACTCATCATTTACTCTTACAATTTGTCAATTCTTGCATATTACCTATTATTCTTTACTGTTCTCCATTATTCTTTCCCGGGCTTTTGAGGAAAGACTTTGGTGTATTGCGGAGAGTGCTGAAGGCAGTTAGCAAGATGTGTGGTGAATCTTTCGAGATCATAATTAATATGGTTGTGGATAGACATTTAAAATCATGAAAACTCCTGGCAGGTGTTATTTTATCAGATACTAGCCATCCCTTCACTCTTATCTTTCTCCTTGTATATCTTCTGGTAGAACGAGACGTAATTACATTAAAATCCATGCACGCAAGCAAAAGTATAAAAGTTCTATAATACCTTACCTAGCAAATATACTCTGTGACGAACAGGTTGTTAGAGTCAACTTAGTCAATAACTTGCATTCTTAATATGTCCTTAATTCTAAAAGTTGTGCAGTTTTTCGTTTTTTCTTTTTTTTAAAAAAACATTTCTCTTTTTTTGTATTCGTTACTGTTTTTTTGTTGTTGCGTAAGTAACTTGTTGAAATAACCTGTGCTGAGAATTCTATATTGTACCGAAACTATAATATTGAATAAAGCCATTAATAATAATAATAATAATAATAATAATAATAATAATAATAATAATAATAATAATAATAATAATAATAATGCCGAACCTCTGCATTACTAACATGGTGTTGCCACTGGATGTCAGCAATCCTTCGGAGACAGCGATGGTCGAACACAGAGAGTTGTCTAAAATCCTCAACTCGGAAAGGCCAGGTTTCACAAGCATAGAACAAAACTGCTCTCACCGAAGCGTTGTAGATCCGACCTTTCACAGCCAGACTAATATCACGAAGGCGCCAAACATGGCCCAGATTGGCATAAGCTGCTGTGGCTTTTAATAAACGTGACTTCTTCTCATTATTCAAGCCAACATCAGCACTTCCGCAACTACACAGACCAACGAACTTCTCGACTACGTCTATCTGCTCACCATCCAGGGTGAGTACAGCATCAGAATCCTGCCAGTCTTGTAGAAGTACTTTGCACTTCGAAGGTGCAAAGCAAATACCATATCTACGGACACTGATTGCCACCTGATTAAGTGCGGATTGCATGGCTTTGGCATTATCACACAGTAAGACGATATCATACGCATACTCAAGGTCGAGAAGTCTTTCTCCAGGCAACAGATCCACACCACCATTACTTACATCCATCAGAGCTGTTTCCAGAATGTCATCGATGGCAAAGTTGAAGAGGAATGGTGAGATTGGGGAACCCTACCTAACCCCACTGCTCGAATGGAACAATGGAGAGAGGTGGTTGTATGCCCTCACTCTGCCTCAGGTATTTTTATATAGGGCTTTTAGGATGCTAATAAACTTCTCAGGCACACCCTTCTTCAATGGACAATCCCAGAGGACAGTCCTGTCCACCGAATCGAAGGCAGCCCTGATGTCAAGAAACTAAATACTGTATTGTGATACAAAACAGAAGCAGCATCTAAGGTACTTCTTTTGCGCTTGTTAGCAGATCGATATAGATCAATATGTTCTTTTAACGCAGGATGAAGTGAAAGTAGCAATAGTTTTTTCCATTGTTCTGAGGAAAGGAGAAGTTATTTAAATTGACCTAAATTTCTCATTCTCATCACCAGATACTTTCTTTGATATTGAGATTGTTTTTATCTTTCTCCACATTTTTGGTATAAAGTTAGTTAAAAAAGACCCCTTAAAGATTATCTTAAATTGATGGCACAGAACTACTGACAGTGACGTTAAGTGATGACAGTTCAGCTTTATGAGGCTTTATGGTAAGTGTAATATACTAGTGTGTGCTCACAGCTTTTGTACAAGCAATATTCGTGTATTGTAGTACAATAGAGTGAGAAACGCTGTGTTTGGACATAAGTTGTACAAATTCGAAATTTAGGTGGAATTTTACAAAACTAATTAGAGTTGTATAAGATCATTATGCTTTATTTGTTAAACGATCGATGGAAAATGTCGCAGTTTTGCGTTCCCCCATCTTTAATTACAACAGGACTCAAAACACAAATATACAATCAAAAGTACCACAACCACGCTACAATTTGCAAGCCTAACTAGGTACTGAACTTGTATATTTTTAGATAAATAATTAAAAAACGTATTGATATTTAACAGATAATTCATGAAAGGTGAGAAAATATAACGATAATTAATGAAATTAAGGATTAAAGTTAGTTAGATCTTTGTTGGATGTACCGGCATTCTGAGGCAATTGCTTATCAACACACCATGCATGTTGAACAAGTCGATAGCTTCCCGGAATCAGTAACTCAGTAGATTAGGCGTTGACGTCTAAAGCACTAGTCAACTGGGTTCGAGTCTCGATATTAACTTCAACGTTGGGACCCAGGTATATCCATCTGACGAGTTCAAAATTAGATGAAACTCGTAATCTGGATTTAGTGGTATTCGCAATTCATGTACGTGAGTGAGTCAAAAGATAGCTTACAATAAGTTCTGTATAATAGTACCATTAAAATAATAGTTTTGATGAATGGTCATTCAAAGTATGTAAGCTTATTTATTGAAAATTAACTATCCTAGTATCAAATTTCACCTCTTCTTGTACTATCTTAATAAAAACAATTAGCTATTAGATATAAACAGATATATCTCATGAAAAAAGAAAGTATTATACAGAATTAATAATAAATCTTTGAAACAGAATAATACAAAATAGTTTGTATGGACCATACAAATAGAAATCTTAAAGACTACAAAATCACACCTTAAATTTTCCAAAATAAAATTCATCAATTTATTAAATTGATAGTTAGAAGTAGTCCTTAAATAAAACAATATACTTCAGGATAAGTGGAAGATTATCAATATATACAGTGAGAAAGAAGGTAGTTTATATCGATTAGTATATAAGATTATCGAGGCTTGCTGGGTATTGTAAGATTATTAAGAAATCAGGAATTCATTGAACAACATTCTCATCAGCGTTTAGGACTATTGTAGAAGTACTCGAAAATGATTAGTTGTTGAGCTCCAAAAAACTAGGATGCGACAGTTTTCCAGTACCCCAACCTTTTTTTTGATTGTTAATTAATTAATGTTAGCCTAGCTAAATACGTAGTGAATACTCTCCGTAATTCCAGTTTAAATATATTAATCTATAAAAACTCTAGTGTAAAAGTTAGTCAGTATTAACAATCCACTGGAGTCTATCTGCACTATTTCACTGAAGGTAAAATTGAAATAACTGAACGCATATTACTTACTTTCCTGTTTGTCAAAGGATTTTTGGTATCGGAAGAGTAAATAACTGAATTGAGAATCTTGTGAAACAGCAATAAGGTAACCTATAATAAATCATTTTTATGTCCAAAAAAATAGACAAAAAACTGTTTAATTTTGCAATGGTTTATGAGGAAATTAAATTTCATTTAATGATAAATATATCCTAACCAAGTATCTCTATGGTAATATATCTCTGACAGTCACACTGATTTGAATCATTCGTTCCAAGGAACAGAAGTTTCCTTTAAGAGTGTAGATATATCATCTTGATTAGTGGCCAACTAGCATGAGACCGAAGTTTAGGGTTGAATCTAGATTAACTTCAATTATATAAGGTCACACAGGTTGCATCGATATATTGACTTGTTTCAGCTAGTAGTCATATTGAAACTTGAATGGTAGAATTTGATTAGGATAAAGAATTAAGCATGAAATCTGTAGCGAATCTCTTAGAACCCGTTAGAAAACTCATTTGTAAACATTCCGTACGTGATACTTTTGAATTTATCGAGCACATAAAAGAAGTGAATGTAAGTGAGAAAATTATGCTATCGCTGGATGTGGAATCATTATTCACTAATGTCCCACTCACAGAGACCATTAATTTTATCTGTAAGTACATAAACAATAACTCCGCCTGTAGCTCTTATAGGGTTGCTGCCGGTCCCAAGCCCGGGTAAAGGAAGAGGGTTAGGCATGGGGTTAGCGTCCCCATCCCGTAGAAAACTAACTCGCTAAAAAAACGCTTACCAGAAAAAACAATCCAAACCATTTTAACTCTGCCCTGGGAGTTAGAAGGTCTTCATTTAGAAGAATTATGACGCTTCATGGTGAAAGCCGAGTTCCTTCGGAAGCCACGAGGCCGATGCCCCTTCTAACAACCAGAGCAAAAAATTTTATAGGTACATGGAACGTTCGAACAATGTGGGAAACCGGGAAGACCAGTCAAATATCAATGGAAATGAGGAGATACAACTTAGCAGTACTGGGAATCAGCGAAACCCACTGGACCCAAGCTGGACGGGAAAGGCTAGCTACGGGAGAGATGCTGCTATACTCCGGTCACGAAGAGGACAATGCTCTACACACTCAGGGAGTCGCTCTTATGCTGTCCAAAGTAGCACGAAATGCACTTGTAGGATGGGAATCTCACGGATCCAGAATCATCAAAGCATCATTCAAAACAAAGAAGGAGGGGATCTTAATGAATATTATCCAATGTTATGCACCCACCAATGATAGCAACGACGAAATTAAAGATCAGTTCTACGAGCGGCTGCAGTCAATCATTGGGAAGTGCCCAAGGAAGGACCTAACTATTCTGATGGGAGATCTAAATGCCAAAGTTGGAATGGACAACACCGGATATGAAGATATTATGGGACGACATGGACTGGGACAGAGAAACGAAAATGGAGAAAGATTTGCAAATCTATGTCCATTCAACAAATTGGTCATAGGCAGTACAATATTTCCACACAAGCGTATACACAAAGCTACATGGATCTCACCGGACCACACTACAGAGAACCAAATAGATCATATTTGCATCAACAAAAAATTCCGAAGGACAATGGAAGATGTGAGAACCAGGAGAGGTGCTGACGTAGCTTCAGATCACCACCTAGTTGTAGCCAATTTAAAACTGAAGCTAAAAAAGAACTGGACAAGTGGACAAACAGCAATACAAAGGTTCAATACAGCCTTCCTTCGAGATACTGACAAACTCAATGAATTCAAGATAGCTCTCAACAACAGGTTCCAAGCCTGACAAGATCTACTGAAAGAAGAAGAAACTACTATGGAGGACAACTGGAAAGGCATCAAGGAAGCATTAACTTCAACGTGTCAAGAGGTTCTCGGTCTAAAGAAATACCATCATAAGGAATGGATCTCTACAGAAACACTGGACAAGATCAAAGAAAGGAAAAACAAGAAGGCAGTAATAAACAACAGCCGAACACGAGCAGAGAAAGTCCAAGCACAAGCTGAATACATAGAAGCAAACAAACAAGTGAAGAGGAGCATTAGAGCCGACAAGAAGAAATACGTGGAAGGACTAGCAACGACGGCGGAAAAAGCTGCAAGGGAAGGAAATATGAAACAGCTTTACGATACAATGAGGAAACTAGCAGGGAAATATATTAAACCAGAGAGACCGGTCAAAGACAAAGAAGGCAAGCCAATCACTGAAATTCAACAACAGCGTAACAGATGTGTTGAATACTTCGAGGAACTCCTGAATAGGCCGGCTCCAATGAATCCACCGGACATCGAAGCAGCACACATAGATCTTCCTATAGATGTCAATCCACCAACTACGGAAGAAATTAGAATGGCCGTCAGACAAATCAAGAACGGGAAAGCAGCAGGACCCGACAACATACCAGCTGAAGCACTGAAATCAGACATCGAAGCAACCACAAGCATGCTTTATCTTCTATTCAAAAAGATTTGGGAGGAGGAACAAGTGCCGATGGACTGGAAAGAAGGACACCTCGTCAAGATTCCAAAGAAAGGAGATCTGAGCAAATGTGAAAACTACAGAGGCTTAACACTACTGTCAATACCAGGGAAAGTCTTCAACAGATTGTTGCTGAACCGGATGAAGGATGCAGTAGACGCCCAACTTCGAGATCAACAAGCTGGATTCCGTAAGGATCGGTCGTGCACAGACCAAATTGCAACACTACGGATCATCGTCGAACAATCAGTTGAGTGGAACTCATTATTATACGTCAACTTCATTGATTATGAAAAGGCATTCGACAGTGTAGATAGGAGGACATTATGAAAACTTCTTCGACACTACGGAGTTCCTGAGAAGATTGTCAATATTATCCGGAACTCATACGACGGACTACAGTGCAAAGTAGTGCATGGAGGACAGCTGACAGATGCATTCCAAGTAAGGACCGGAGTCAGACAAGGCTGTTTACTCTCTCCCTTCCTCTTTCTTCTGGTGATCGACCGGATTATGAAGACCTCAACATCTGAAGGAAAACACGGAATACAATGGACAGCTCAGAATCAATTAGACGATTTGGACTTCGCAGATGACCTAGCCCTCCTATCACGTACACACGAACAGATGCAGATGAAGACAGCCAGTGTAGCAGCAGTCTCTGCATCAGTAGGCCTCAGCATACACAAAGGGAAAACTAAGGTCCTCAAATTCAAAGCGGAGAACAGCAATCCAATCACACTTGATGGCGAAACTCTGGAAGATGTAGAGTCCTTCACATACCTGGGAAGCATCATCGATGAACAAGGAGGATCCGATGCAGACGTGAAGGCGAGGATCGGCAAAGCAAGGGTCGCATTCCTACAATTGAAGAACATATGGAACTCAAAACAACTTTCAACCAATATCAAAGTGAGAATCTTCAATACGAACGTCACGGCAGTTCTACTGTATGGAGCTGAAACTTGGAGAACTACAACAACCACAATCAAGAAAGTACAAGTATTTATAAATAACTGTCTACGCAAGATACTCAACATCCATTGGCCGGATACCATCAGCAATAGCCTTCTGTGGGAGAGAACAAACCAACTTCCAGCTGAAGAAGAAATTAGGAAAAGACGATGGAAATGGATAGGACATACATTACGCAAATCGTCAAACTGCATCACGAGGCATGCCCTAACTTGGAATCCTGAAGGGAAGCGAAAAAGAGGAAGGCCAAAGAACACATTACGTCGGATAATAGAAGCAGATATGAAAAGGATGAATTACAACTGGAAGGAGCTGGAAAGGATTGCTCAGGACAGGGTTGGATGGAGAATGCTGGTGAGCGGCCTATGCTCCTTCACGAGGAGTAACAGGCGTAAGTAAGTAAGTAAGTACATAAACAATAATGGGATAAACATTGGGATACCTGAGGTTTATTTGAAGGAACTATTACTACGCTGCACTTGCAATGTACAGTTCACATTCAACGATGTAATTCATAGACAGAAGGATGGTATAGCAATGGGATCCCCACTTGGTCCATTACTGGCAGATTGCTTCATGGCCAGTTTATAAAACAACCAACTCAAAAGAATTATAGAAAGCCTCCACTTGTATAAAAGGTATGTGGATGATATCTTTATCATTTGTGACAACAAATGTAACTTAAGTGATCTCCTAGAGACATTTAATAATTGTCACCCATCAATAAAATTCACACTGGAAGTTGAAAGCAAACAAAATATTCACTTCCTTGATGTAGATATAACAAGAAAACAAGATGGTACTTTAAAAAGAGCTATCTACAGGAAACCCATGTGGAATGGGCAACTATCAAATTTCCACAGTTGGGTTCCCATCAGCCGAAAAACAAAACTTAATAATAACTCTCGCCCCGAGGTCACAGAGGAAGAATTGAGCCTTTTAAAAGAGATTCTTATCAAAAACGGATATCCTCCTACATTCATTGATAAGAAATCTGTTGCTATCAGGTTATCAATTAGCGTATATATATATTACTTGCAGCTATGAATAAAATGAGTCCGTATATAATAATGGGTCTGGAATCCTTAGTGTAAAACCATTATTTATTGTTTTGATTGTGAGTATGAACACCACCTACACGTTGCTAAGCTTTTCAGTTTACAGTCGTTTAGCACATATTTAGTACTAATATAAAACATTTCATCTGAAGTCTATTAGTTTAAAACAGCGTATACAGTTTTTAATTTCTTATTAGATTTTCTTACTTTAAAATGTAAAGCGATAGTTTATTAATTAGACAGTTTATCTTTTAGTTAACCATTTCCAGTTTCAAATCTTGACACACAGACTTTGGTTAGGGTGGTTGGATAGAAGTTTGCACGCCACTGGACTTGAAAAATGAAGTGAAATATAATGGATAAGTATTATTGGATTCCCGTTTTATGATGCACAAATATTGTGATCGTCACAAGAAATAGATTTGAATCCAGCCCTTGGCAAAACGGTGAGTGGTATTTCAGAATTTCAGACAAAAACAAAACAACTGCCTGAAACAATTGAATTGAAAAAGCATTTGAATTACCTACAAATAATCAACTTACAATCCACATTAAAATACCGCCAAATATCATTTTTTTATTATTTAAATGTTCAACTTTTGACAAAGATTCTGATTGTATACCGTTAAGTAGGTTAACTGTATCAGTAATTAGTTTTTCACCTTTTAAACGAGAACCCGATTTTACACAATCAATTTGCTTGAATTCATTAGTTGAATTTCCTTGAGTGTTTTGGCAATGTAACCAAGTGATAATTCCATTTAGCAAAATGTTATATTCCGTAGCTGTAAAAATATTTATTGAAGCAAAAAGCATCATAAAATGAAAACTAAATATTAAAAGAAAACAATTCACAACGATATCCAGTCGGTTCGTATAATATTAATGATGGAATAGTTTTTGCAACAAATTAGCATTAATATTAAAGGTATTTGATAATGATACATGAATAAATTCATAAACTTGGGTTATACAAAAGTTTCTTTGATAATTTGAATTTGTATTATTTAACGAATGTAAATAGAAACCAACTGCTATAATATTACAGATTAGATAGATTTTTGGCTGAACTCGGTTCTTCTTTGTGAACAGATATAAATTAGTGTTTGGGACTTGGGCAAAGAATTATTGGGCTGAATTCGATAATCAACTTTTATAGACTAATGTTTATGATCAAGATGAGAGATTGTGAAGATTTTTCATTTTGAAGTTACTTTTTGTTGCCAATCGGCGTTAATTCCAGAAGCACGGAAAGTCTAAGAACATTTAAATTAAGTATGTTTCTAGTTTGAAATTTCTCAACAGTGTGTACACATAACCATACAAGGGGTCAGACTCAAAAGCCACATGTCTCGGAAGGAGCTTGTTACAACATCATTTTAGAACATTGAAAATAGCAGTGTCAATTATAATAAAAAAGACTGAATATACAGATTACGATACTAGGAGCAAGCAACATAGAACCTGGTGCATATGCATCCGTTTGAGTTGTGATACCAAATCAGTATATTCATACAGTATTTCGAAATGTAATAACATTAATGACCAATGTATTTCTTTTATTATTTAAAAATGAGAGACTCACTTCGTTCTTGACTCCATACACTTGACATACAATTTTTATACTCAAATTTATGATATGACTTCAATGAAAATACACATTCACCAGATAAACGACCAATTTGTTGCATTAACATATATAGCACTTTTAATCGATCATAATTTGTTGACCAGAAATTATACAACCATGAAGATGATAGAACGCCTAAACTTCTCTCTGGTATACCAACTCCCGTAATTAATCCGATTAATGTGGCTAAATCAACTTGTTGCGTTTGTGGCAACTGTTTTAGATTTGTTGTTACACATGTGTTCTTGAGTAAAAAATATTAAAAAATACTGCAGGAACACGAGAGTAAATTAAAAGAGTAATTGCATAAAGCTTCAATTTTATTGATAATTATTACAGAAAAAATAACATTATTAGTCAGTAATATAACTATAATGAGATTTGGAAGTTCTAAGTATGATTTCACATTAAGTCTAAGATGAGTGAATTATTATAGGTGTTACCAAATAGAACAACAAAGATATTTGTGATGTAAGGACGATTTTGAATACAGAGACCTGACTAAACATTTGGGAGCTACTTATTTTACTAACTGTGCAAATATTGCATTTAACCTAATTGTCTTAGATTTGTTTAAACTGAATGATTATGTGAGTGCTAACTCGATATATTGAAAGGCTGAAATTAGGAGAGTTAAAAATTATCACGATTCTAATTACTGCAACAATCAATCAGAGACACTAAAATACTTTTTGTTTTTATCTATTCGTTGACAAAATAAGAGACAAATATTTTGGAATTCAAGAACCTTTTGTTTCACAGATTACGAACATAGTTGTATCAGTTGAACTGGTAGAAAACTTTAATCATTGAACACGGGTGAAAGATACAGAATGTTAAAAAAAATTCAAAATATGTTTTCAGTAATTATAATATGAATTTATGTCAAAGAGATATTTGTAGTAATATTGTATAACTGATAATGAGAATCTCTTACTGTGCAAAAATTTATAGTATTGAATAAAGCTATTATTATTATTATTATTATTATTATTATTATTATTATTATTATTATTATTATTATTATTATTATTACGCATTGTTTCATTTGCTGACGTGGTAATAATTAAATGTAAATCTAGCATATCTAAGAGAGAGAAAGAGATTGAACTACGCTTAAGATTGTTTTTCTTCCTAAGGTGAGAAATAATTCATTTACTCTGTATTGGTTAGCATACTTGATAAGCCTTTTAACTGAACACTTGAATCGGTTTCTTAAGCTGTTCTAATAACCCCAGGTTAAATCCACATGACAAAATGAACACGAGAGAACAGACGTGATGTATGGAAAGAACGCTTCACTCTAAGGTTAGTCTATGTACATAAAATTGAAGGTATTTATAGTATTTCAGATGATCTTGCGCTTCTGGAAGGTTCTGGGACCATAGTAAACATAGTAGTGGAATAGGTAATTATGCAATCATAAATGTGACACGTGACCTTTCACTGTCTAGATGTTTTTGAGAAGCTTAAATTCAACGCTGATTGGACAAAATGTTTCCCAGTGTTTTCAGAGCCCCCCTGAACTTTTTCGAGGAATACTTTGGATATCCCTAACAAAACTCAGTTTTTAGTCCCATTTTAGTTGTAAGACATAGTGCTACTACCCGAAAATCAATTCGAACAGGTTGCCTAACAGTTGGGAATCAAGTATTTTAATTACCGAACTACTAAACCATTTCCAATGATTATGTAGTGTCATTTTCAATAATTGGACTTGTTGGAAAGTGGTAATTATTCATAAAATATCAAAATAATCATCATAAGTTTTCAAACTCCATACACTTAATTCTATTCACAGCTTTATTTAAATAAATACGTCACCATCGTACCAAGTGTTTACAACTAGTAATACTTTTACTATCGATAATAATGACTGATTTCTCATAATATGCCGTGCTTTATCATTTAAAAATTGTAATTATTGAAGGCATTAATATCCCCCATTTATGGTGCAGATCATAACTATATTTAAATCAAACGCTTATTAAGTTAGAGCGTTAGGGAGAGTAGTATACAATATCCTACCATACCAGAGTGAAATAAACATCGGAAATGACTTACAAGTAATATACCTGATACTGTAAATAATACACATATACTAGTGAAACTTGTCAACCCAAGTGCAAATTCATGCATTCAACCTTAAGCGACACTTTTTATGCCAAACCTACAGGCAATACCAAGCTTTCTAAATTGAAACCGATGGAACCAGCTTCAAATCTAAAACTCCCCATAATAAAATTAGATTGTGTACGCATTAAGTCATTATTCCATAGATATATTTAGATGATCGTTTGTGTTTAAATAAGAGTAACGAATGGTCAATTTTATTTTTCAATCGAAATCCCTAATTATCAATTAATCTAATTAACCGTTGTCTTTATCGATTGATTCATACTCTTAAATTCTGTTTCACTCCAGTTCAAAAAGTCGGGCAGTCTTATTACCTCAAATACAAAATTTTTATCTTGTTTATCGATGCTGTTGAAAAGTATTGCAGTGCGAGTAAATCAGATCGTCTGTACTTTCTGGTAATAATAAATTGTTTACAAAATAAACGGTAAAAGTTTCATGACCCAACAATTAAATTGAGGTAGCTAACGCAGACTTTTTAAAAATCATTCTTTAGAACGACAAAAAGAAAAGTGTTTAACTATGAGATTTAATGATTCTTGCATCAATCACAATGCCCAAAATTAACCTCCTCCAAGTGGTCATGAGTGAGTATTGCTGATAAAAACGTAATATAGATAGGTATACATAGCTATGACTGTCGATATGTAACCAATAATTTATTATTAAATGACTGTGTCGAAATAGACCTTCAAACACGGCTAAAGTACTTAAGTATTACTAATCCTTCATATAAAATTCAATGATTGGAATGAAAAGCGCAGAAAGCAAAACAACAAATCCAACAATCAATGTAAATTGAAAATGTAAATTCATTATTCTTTTTCGTTAACAAATCGTACTTTGACCAATAAATAACTTTGTGACATTGTAAAACTCATTGGAGCTATTTCTTCTTTTCCTACCATATGTTAATTTTTTTAAAAGTTTTAATTTCATCAGTTTCACATTTCATACATAAATTCTTTTTCAAGAATTATACTTTGAAGTGTCACTACTTAGAGAATAATAATCCAAAACCCCGCCCCCGCGAGATTCGAACCCAAGACATATCAGTCTCTCGTGCGAACGCCAAACCATCGGCCCACTAAGCCGGCACCCAACGGTGTTAATGTCTAACTTCAACCAATCCACGAAATTGCGCCACTGTACACCATTGTCTTCAGTGAGCTGATATCTCACTGGGGGGATCGTGGATACGCACTGCTGAGGAGTTCCATCCTAGGACGAAACGGCAGTCCAGTACTTCCAGGTCTTCTATGGTGGTTTAGCTTCAACTGATTCACGATTTCAACTATTGAAATTTCTAAAATCTCCACAAAACCACTTCTGTTTAAGATTTATTAAAAATTAGAAAACAAACGTAATAGCCATTATTTAAAAGTACACTTTTTTTCTCAAGTATACATTTACCTCAGTTAAGTGATCATTTGTTTTATTCCAGTTAGATCCAAGCATAAAAAGGCCAGTTGTTTTTTCACCAGTTGTAGAGCCTCCATGACTGCCTTTATCACTCATTCCATGATCGCCTGTTAAAATAAATAACCAATTTTTATTGATAATTGATGAAGAGTTCATCTGGAAAAAAAGTATAAAAATTATTGTGAGAATAATAGGATACTGAAATTTCTAATTTAATTCATTAATCAAGAATTGATTTGTGTGCTGATTATTTGAGCTACAATATGTGAGGATTCTGTGATAATAAACAGAGATTTAAAATTAAGTAGATAGAACGGGGTTCCAGTTTGCGAACTATGAACAGAAATTTTACAAAAGAGTGAAGAAAAGAAAAGATTCATGAATTCATTCAAAGTTCCTTGAGAACCTGATTTTTTATTGACTAGGCCATGGATTCTTTATTTAGAGGGTAAAGCTTAGGTTGATTAAAAATTTCAATAATGAATGTAGCATGAGTAGTCCCTGAGTAACTGATTTAGTATACTTTTGCATATCTTGAGGGATTCGATCATATATATGTAACTAGAGGTAAGTAAACGAGCCGTTTTCATCTGCACGATGCAAAGTCCATCTACTTATATATATTCAGGAAAATTTTTAGATTATAAGTCTGCGCACCCACACGCGACCAAAGTGACAGTGGCCAAAAATTTGATCACCAGAGTCAAAGAACTTGTCACTGAACCAGATGATATAAAAATGGAAATGAATTTAGTTGTATCCACTCTATTAATGAATAATTATCCGAAAGGTTTTATTAAAAGAATAATTAAGGATGAAGAACGGAATGATATTTTTTAAAAAAGAGTTAAGCAAGATTGGATGAATACAGTAGTGATCCCATATCGTAAAGGTATCTCAGAAGACATCAGAAGGATTTTAATTCGTCAAAATATAAGAGTATTCTTTCGAACAAACAATACTCTAAGATCAAAACTAGTAAGAATCAAAGATCCAATACACAAGGATGATCAACAGAATTGTGTTTATGAAATCAAATGTAATGATTGTAATGCAACGTATGTAGGTGAAACATCAAGGCAACTGAATGTGAGGGTGAAAGAACACAAACTGTGCTTAAAGCATATTCCTAAATCCTCAATTGATGTAAAAAAAGCTTGAGAACAGATCAGCGATAGCATTACATTCAATTGAATCGGGTCATACAGTTGATTTCAATGGCACGAGAATCATTCAAAAAGGATTTAATTCTTACAAAGAACGACTAACAGCCGAAGCCTTACATATATGGGCTAATTTAAACAATATTAATAGGAGAGATGGAATACAACTAGCTGCCCCATGGCAACTAATAATTAATAAGTAAACCTGATCTCCTTTTTTGCCATTTGATATATTTATGCCATAGTAACTAATTGATAGATAATACGTTCAATGATTCAAATCCGTTATCTTATCTGAATATGTTAAACAATTGACTGGAACATTTAAAAATAACACACTTCAATTACATATACATTCCTCGTTTATTTTTATTGTTTACTTATCTTCATTTAATGCAGGCTGTGGCATTTTGATTCATTTCATATATAAAAATGACTTGTTTTCTTAATATACACAGACCGTAGTCAATATTAAGTTGAATGAAATTTCTTCTCACATCACTTGCATATAAACACATTCTGTTATCTTAACACGTTTTGGTTCCATAACACATACAAAACAATTTGTCATAACCTTGAATTTACCTTATAATCCTTAAGTCATTCTATGGCCTAGGATAACATGACAATTTCTTATTCTTTCTCTCCCCTTGATTATTTTCAAATGAACTTTTATTTTATTTGTTTGACCTTTATTATTTTTCATATAAACATGTCTCTTACACATTAATACAAATACCTATCTATAAAGAAATCCTTCACGTCGATTGGATGACTTATTCAGTGTACAGTAAACCGAAGAACCATGTACCTATTTATATTCGATAATTTTGTTGTTTGATTATATTTTCCTTGAAAAAGCTTGGACCAGATTGCCAGGCGAAACGTTGGATTTACTTAAAATTCATTCGCTGAGATTTTACAAATATATTCTTTTTATTGTCTTAAACAATATCTGTTGTTATATATGCATTCCGTGCAAATTGCCTCTATATGTTATGTACATATAATAGTAGTAACTGATCAATTAGAGTTGTGAATATCAACAATGGGAGATTGCAAATTATTGCCAATACTTTCAGACTTGTTGAATAATTTGTGTTTATCTGAAATCAATAGCTTAGGGGGATGTTTGAAGTGATAGGGATTGAGTTCGAGTTCCAATGTAAATATCAACACTGAGCCTCAGGCACATTTCGCTGATGAGTTGCAAATAGAATCATTAGCTATCTAATGAATATAATAAATTCAGCGAATATTTTAAATGAACTAACTTTAGGAATCGAGTCTTAAAAATCTAAAGATGATCTGGGTAAAACAAAACATAAAACACCACAATGAGATAAATCCTATAAATTTGTTAACTATTAACAAATTAAATTTAGCAAAACTAATTTATATTAGATATTCAATAATCAAACAAATAGTAACAACTTTTGGTTGATAATGTAATTCGGCCATTAAATATGGAAAATTAGTATTTAAACAACATTCATTTAAACACAAATGATTTATTAATTATAACAAATACTTTAGAAACTGATTATGAAACAATTTTCATTTAAAATAACTTACCTAACAGCCAATAAAAATTCTTGTTTGGATTCTATAGCACCTACTTTGATTTAATCAGTTGAATATAAGAACTTAACTACATAGGAACGTATAGTTAAGAACCAAGTGTGTATAAGTACTTATAATTCATTACTGAGTTAAGCTGAAAACTGATTCATACTAGTTGATATTAGTTGAACTAGCAGACAGATAATTTACATATTAAAAATTATTATCAGGTTTAGTGATAAAAAGAACCAAGTTGATGATGCAATGGGAAATATACAGTTGTAGAGTTAACCATTTACTGTGGTTCTTTCAATTTTTGTTAATGTAAACCATTGGCTTACATAAAATGTAAATGTTCAATACAGTTTATTTTAATTTTAATAATCAATTACTTTACTGATAATATATTAGTTCAGTAGAAGTAGAAATAAGTATTTTAATAATTATTATTATAACAACTTTGCTGTACCAATATTTTAAAATTTCATTATCTCCTAGAATTACTATAGTGTTATAAGTTATGAAACTTTCAGTTCGAAATTGTAAAAAATATCATTGTGAAACGGGAAAAAAATCATTTATAAGATTTTGGATTATGCGTATTAGTGAAAGCAACTAGCAACTAGTCAGTTCGATGTACCTGTATCACAGTGTTGACATTAAGGCTGATGGTAGAAGGTAGCGCTTATCGATAAAGACGTTAAGTCTTTGGGTACTAAACTTAGTAACTTACTTACACCTGATACCACTCGAGCAGCATAGGCCGCCCACCGGCATTTTCCATCCAACTCTGTCCTGGGCAATCCTTTCCACTTGCTATTCATCCTTTTGGTGTCTGCCTCCAATTCCCGGAGCAATGTATTATTAGGTTAACCTTTTACCCTTTCCCATTCAGGATTCCAACTTGTAGCTTAACTCGCGAAGCAGTTTGATGATTTCCACAGTATATGTTTTATCCACTTCCAACATCTTTCCTAATCTCTTCATTTGGATGCTGGTTTGTTCTCTCCCACAATAGGTTGTTGCTCATGGTATCCGGTCAACGGACACTCAGTATCTTGCAAAGACAACTGTTTATAAATACTCGTACATTTTTGATGATGGTTGTAGTAACATATAGTTCTCTTACACACACCATCAAATACTTCATCATGGTCAAGGAATTCGATCGTCTTGCCTTTTTTGTTGTTGACCGATCGCTTTGGTTTTTTATATTCATCAGCCAGTTTCTTAGTTGTATTATATAACTGTTTTATATTTGCCTTGCTTGCAGTTTTTTCCGGCATTGTTGCTAGTTCTTCGCGTATTTCTGTTTGTCAGCTCTAGTGCTCTTCTTCATCACCTGCTTGTTTGCTTCTATTTGTTTAGCTTGTGTCTTGACTTTCTCTGCTCTTGTTCCACTGTTTTTAATTACTGTCTTCTTGGTCTTCCTTTCTTGAATGCTGTCCAGGGTTTCGATAGAGATCCATTCTTATAATCATGCCTCTTGAGGCTCAGAACCTCCTAACATGTTGAAGTTAGTGCTCCTTTGACCCCTTCTACATTGTCCTTCATAGAAATTTTTTCTTCTTTGAGTAGATCTCGTAGTGCTTGGAACCAGTTGTTGAGATCTATCTTGATTCGTTGAGTTTAACAGCATCTCGAATGAAGGCTGTATTGAATTTTGTAATTTTGTCTCCTCAGCTGCCCAGTGTTTCTTTAGCTTCAGTTTCATCTTGGTCACAACCAGGTGGTGATCTGAATCTACGTCAGCTCCTCTTGTGGTTCTCACGTCCTCAATCGACCTTCTGAATTTTTTAGTGATGTAAATATGACCAATCTGGTTCTCTGTGGTGTGAGCGGTAAGACCCGTGTAGCTTTGTGTATGTGTTTGTGGGGGAACAACTAATTTTTTGAATGCACATAGATTTGCAAATCCCTTACCATTCTCGTTCCTTTCTCCCAGTCCATGTCGTCCCATGATATCTTCATATCCGGTGTTATTCATTCCGACTTTAGCGTTTAGGTCTCCCTTCAGGATGGTCAGGACGTTTTCTGGGTACTTCACTATGAGTGATTACAGCCTCTTATAGAACTGGTCTTCATCGTCGTCATTGCGATCATTGGTGTGTGCATAACATTGGATAACATGCATTGTGATTCCCTCCGTCTTTGTTTTGAAGGATGCTTTGATGATCCTGGATCCGTGAGATTCCCATCCTATAAATGCATTTCTTGCTTCTCTGGACAGGATCAGAGCAACTCCCTGAGTGTGTGAAGCATTTTCCTTTTCGTGACCGGAGTACAGCAGCATCTCTCCCGAATCTAAACTTTTCTGTCTAGTTTGGGTTCGATGGGCCTCACTGATTCTGAGCACCTCTAAATTGTATTTCTTCATATCCATAACTATTTGATCAGTCCTTCCAGTCTTTTACACTGTCCAAATATTCCATGTACACCTATATTAATTGTTGCTCTGTTTGTTAGGAGGGTCATCGGTTTAGTGATGTTCCAAAAATCTCAGCTCTCACCAAGAGGCGCCATAATTCTTCTGAATGAAGACCTTTCAACTTGAAGGGCAGAGTTTAAATGGTTTAAATTGTTTTTCCCCACTAGTGTTTTTCTTGGCAAGGTTTTTTTCTACGGCATGGGGTTGCTGACCCTATGCCCAACCACCCTCTTTTATCTACGCTCGGGACCGGCAGTAACCTTAGAAGGGCTACAGGGTTTGTATAAGTATTAGACAGCCTAGTGATTATGACGCTATCTGAAAAGGTTTGTAACACCCTGTTGTTAATATTCAGACAAATACGTTACCAAAGATTGATTTATGCAGTCTCAGATACCAGCATCAAGAAAGTAAGAGCCTTTACAAAAGATATCAACTGGTTTTAGGTTGACGAGTTCTTTAGTTCAGATTATTATCAATATCCAAACTTGAACATAAAAGCATTAGAGATTTTAGCTGATGTCAGGACGTGACTTGTCTATTAATTGCCAATTAACAGCAACAACTGCTTATTCATACTTCTACAAAAAAAGTCAATTAGATTTCACGTCAAATACCAACGTGTGTGTTGCACATTGTAGTGATAATTGAACTACGTGAAAATCAAGATTACCAATAAAGTGTGAAGGCATCAAACTAATTTAACTTCAACTCAAAAGTTAAAATGCAGTTAAAATACATTTGTAAATTCCCGAAAGTTATTAAATGCACCACCCAAATTGGTAAGCAAACTTTACGTTTATGTATACACTTTATATTCGAAATGTTTTCACTTTTACCAAATCCGACCCTTAGTTATATTGATTACAACAGACAGACTGATCTTAGATCGTTATTGACAAGAGATAAAAATGTATTAAAGCAGTTAACGGAACCGAATGGAGTATATTTTGTAAAGGGTAAAACATTATATTCTATTTGTGAAAGTTATATTTGAAACAATCTCAGCGATAGAAATATGAATTCATTCTTTAGCGATTCTGATTATTATCCAGCAGAATCCCAGACAGGTTTGTTGGATGAAACGGTGGAACTCTTTAAATTTCAACCGCTGAGATTATTACAAACATAAATTTTACAAATAACGTCTTCCATATATTCAGTGCCAGATTCCTGACAAACTATTCGTTCAAATATTGACGAATATTGGTATGAGCTATATTTTTGTGAATGCTGAATCGGTGCCAACCTTTATTGTTAGCAGAGTAGTAAAAAATTGGAAAAAAAGAAACAAGATTAATCGTGTGTTATTATGCCTAATTCTCGTGAAACTGTGGTCTGGAGATTTCAAAAACAAACTTTCGAATATTGAGAATGGATTTCGAAATTTAATCTAAAAACTTTAATTTGAGTATTAGAACAATACTGTACGCGGTATACAAATATGTAAATTAAAGTTTAATACTAAGTTTCATAGTGAGTAATGTTAACCATAGTAAAGTGTGAATAAATAAGACTCAGTAATCAATTCAATACATGATATAGTTTCATATAACTCGGACTTTTAATATGAACTACGTAGGAAAATGCATGGCTCAAACGGTTAGATAAGTAGGGTATTAGAAATTGATGTTTGAATGAACATCTTACTATCAAATACTTCATATACACCTATTTTCGTATCCTAAGCATTTTTAGCACCTTTCTCCACTTCACTTGCTAATCTTTTTAACTCGTATGCTGTTGAGAAGAATTAACATACAAATCCATACACTTTATACAGAACTTTACGACAACATTACTGTCCTTTTTGTGCAGTCTTTTGAGTAAAAACAATGGTCACGACGTATTCGGTTACATAAAAACAAATGCAATTGTAAATGCTATTTTTATGAAAGAGATTAAAAAAGCAAGATAGATGTATCTTTGCGTCAAATACTCTAGCCTTTAGAGTATATATCTTATCCAAAAAGCAACAACCACAAAAATTAATACTAATAAAATCTAGCACTGAATCAAAAGCCTATAAGACAAAATTAAAAGCGCGTGAATCATTGATTATTCTTTAGTCAATAGTCACTACTACATTTAGAGTCTCATGATTATAAACTCAAATTTAGCTTTTCCTAAACATGGGGCGCAGATTCGTCGCTATTCCAAACCGTTTGCCAGTTTCTGCTTGTTCATGATAGTATTAACACTGATTTTGAATGGGTCGTATACACATACATGATATAGCAAGGATATTTAAGCCAGCAAACTTTGGAAACTTTATTTAATCACTTACCATCCATAATGAAGTATCAAAACGAAATTTAATGTTGACAGTCTCACTAACTCTAAATAGTGCTAATCGCACTGTACAAAATAGTGATAGAATATCAATAATATTACAATAATTTCCATCAAAGTCATTTCTTATCTTAAAACTATAAATGCTAAAAAATACAAAGATACACATTTCGAATCCAAGTAGGTAAAATAATGGGAAACAATCAATTTCATGAACAATGATTTTATCAAACATTTTCTTATCCTAGCAGATTTTTCCCAGCTCGTTAAGACACGAGTACTGTTTGAGACATAGTATACTGAAACGAAATATCAGCACAGTAACAGTGACACATTCACAATTATCAGGTATTCCTTTCCACTTGAAAACAATTAAAAAGCTTACACAATGTGGACATTGGAGACTAAATTATTAATATGAAGCGAACGTATCCAACAATTAAGTAAAGAATAGTAAAAAACCGATATACATATTTTGAAAGTCATTAGAGTAAAGTTATTAGAACATAAGCAACAAACATACCAATACTTCAAGTATGCTGTGAATAACTTCATCCATTTCACGAATTTTTTTAGGGATGCTAGATCCCTTAGGTCCTTCAATGTGTCCAATATGATCCAACCCCAAATAATGCAAAATAAGACCATCCCATGTATCGGGTGTAGTCATCAATGTCGAGATATGACGTGTTACATTTTCATCTACCTATAATATTAAAAACATTTAGCATCAATCGATTTTACTTCATAGAAGTCATTAACGTAGAAAGAATTTGTGCCTTCATAGGCCTGAAAGCTTTTAGGAAAAAGCTTTATCCAAGTATCATCCCCATAAAATTGAATTTTCCATTGATGATTTACCAAACGAGTTACCCAATTATCATCAACCATAGTTTCTGCATTTACGTTGTGCAAAATATCAACAAACTTCGGATTTCTCCCTGAGACGATCGCCTACATTTTAAAATGATATCCAATTTGTTCAATAAACCAACCTTTATTCGCGGTAGTGTCACAGTAGGGGGTTGAACAATTGAAGCAGAACATGTGGCCGACTTGAGGTTCATATACGAACGAAGTTTGACCCAATTTTCTGAGTACTTTGGTGAAAACAAAAAGTCTACTCTTAATGCATCAACTACGATCATGACAAATTTATCAATCTTATATGTTTCTTCTATATCCCCAACTAAATAAAACCAAAATACTGATCAGAAATGAAACTAATCCTACTTTTGTCAACTTTTGTAGCTGGGTCATTCGGCAGTAGACCACTCATAAATATAAAAAGACCAAATGAATATATGCCAAGTAGAAGGAGACATTCATAAACACTAATTTTCGTCAAGATCCCCATTTAATTACTCATCTACTTTACGAATCTAAAATGGAAAATTTGTATCTGAAGGTTATAGAACTTCAAAAATGTGTAAATAAGCACAACGATATAAAGAGGAGGAGTGAGGTGGAAAATCATATAATCTCCACACTACACTTAGTTGTATGGCGGGATATATGGAATATATAAATTATGTTAACTTTTGAGGCAGAATTTAGCCAATATGTATGACAACAAAAATAAGTACAAACTCATGTTAAAAACACGAAGTATGGTAATTAGTCTTAAAGTACAAGATATAATATCTAGTGACTATGTTCTGTCGCAAAATGTTTACCTAGAATATTTCGAAGTTGCAAAGATTGTAAATTTTCTTACCGTGACATACACATAAAGACTAAAATAAATTTTGCTTTGAATAAACCTCTCCATCAGGATTTAGAAGTCTTCCTCGGGAATTCTGTAAAATATTTCCACAGGATAAAATACCATACCATAACAGGCTTTAACTATGTGAAAATTATAGGAAGTGCGTAATTCATACTCACCAATCACGTCATGCAAGTGAAAAGATAAGGTTACTTTTGTAGAGACTTCATTGATGTTATGAGTGTAAATAATAATAAGTAAAGAAAAATGTGCTATTGAGACGTACTCGGAGGCAGTAAGCTATCTTAAACTTAGTGTTAGAGGACTGCGTAATACACATGCTAAACGCCAAAATTTAATATATTGCAAAGAAGATTGAAAGTCTAATGTAACGTTGACGCTTATAATATTTAGGTCTAAGGTTTTTCCAATGAAATTTAAATGAACATGATATATTCCCAGTCGCGTTCAACCATTAAAAACATGAGTGATTTACTGTAGAAATGGAATAATTTGCAGTGTAAATTTTAAATCACCAATCAACTTTTAGAAATTTCATATAACTTTTAACTCGAATTCAAATAAAATTTGATAAGGTTTAAGGGTTGTACTGAGAACCAGCCCGAACTAGTAGTTAGGGACAGAATTTGAATTCGGTGTTAGGATTCAAAGTTGGATGTTGAGGTTTAATATAGAGAACAGGTTTTACGACTGGTCTACCTCTACCCAAAAGCAAACCCTGAATCTCAAATCCTACACATAGATCTTTACCCTAAAACTTAATCTTAATTTTGACAGTAGCAGGAGATCCCAGTCCCAAGCCTTTGTCCTTGTTTCTAAAACACAGATCTCATTCCAAGTTCCAAACATTAAAACGTTTACGTCAATAAAACCAAGACCACCGAAATCTTAATTGTAATTTAGTATACCTAAGGTATATTGTTGGGTGACGGTGAAGTCTTGAAAAATGGATAAGTTAATAAGCAAAATCAGTAATTTACACAAAACTATATGAACAACTCTAAAAATTCCCATGTGAAATCTCGAGCATACGTATGGTTCAGAAATACTCAGATTTTCTAGGAGACCGTTTTAGAAGTCAGGATTAGGAAAAAGAGTAACGTTTGAACAATTGACTGATATCAGCTATAATTTAATAAAGATTCAACATCATATAGATGAACGAATCGTTAACAGAAATCCCATAGCTGCTAACTTGGATTTAATTGGTGTTGTGCCACCCTTAACGTCGCAAGTGCTAGAAGCTAAACCCAATTTAATGAAAGTTCCGAGTTCTTGTGATGATCTTCAAGATCTAACGACGTCTTATCCGTTCATATAAACCAGAAACAAGTTGACATTCAACGTTTTAGTGCACACCAAAACTAGATCACCCTAACTTCTTTCCACAGTAATCTACAGAGCTATGTGGAAAATATCGTTTAATTGGTTGAATTTAAAGAAGACAAAAAAGATAGGTAATATTTAGGTTTTGTACTTATGCTGCTACTTTGATTTCATTTTTTTTTACTTCGACTGCTATGACAGTATAATAATTGTCTGAGAAAGTCAAAATTGTCAGCTACTCATTATCACAATACAACAAGTATCATATAGAATAAACTACGTCTGGATATAAAACTCTTCATTGAAAAGTCTTCCTTACGTTCCCTAATATTATATTAAGCGTTTAACTAAACAAAATTACTAACAGCAATTTTACGATCATAGTATCGACACACCTGACATTTTAATATCTAATAACAAAACAAGGGACTAAAAGTTTGAAGATAACCATATACTTTGTTCTCACAGAAAAGCCTTACGGTGAAAACGCGTAGAAAACTATTGACAGCGCTGTTTCTGAAGGTTGATTTTCAAGGATTTTTGTAAGTGAATAGGACGTTAAAACATTATAAGACAAAATTGGCTTTTCCGAAGTAGTACTGAACTTTCAAAAACTCATTGAAGTAAGTCACCAGTTCTCTGTTATACTTACGAGGGGTATTTCTTACTAATTTGATGACTGGTAATGTGAAAATTTTAGGTCCTCGGTCTTAGGTTTTCAAATGTGAGAATAAATAAGCTGGTCTGAACTAATTCTTGCGTCACGTTTTTCAGCTTCAAAGTACGTATAGCATTAAAAAACTAAAGTGAGCTCAAATACATGGGTAGCAAACGGACAATATTGATAAGTACAGTATCTCAACCGAAAGTTGTAACTTCTAATGCTGAATCAAATGACAATAAAGAAAATTTGAAAGCCTATAGCACTATCAATCTAGCAACATATATTTAAGAATAAATTATTAGTTATCAATAGAGAGATTCAACTGCTTTCTATTTTCTCCCGAAGCATGACAGTATTTTGTGCATCTACGGTTATCGCATCCCGACTGACCACGCAGTACACAAACTTTTGACCCTCATACCTAAGCCGTTTATGAATGAGTATCAATAAGAAGATCCGAAAGTGATTTTCTTCAATTTCCCCATAGATACTTCGAAATTAAGGTAATCAACTGGGTTGAGTTCGTTATGGGATAAACGGTATAGTTATTTTCTTGGCCGGGAAATTTAACTTTTTCAGCTGTCTTCAGTCAACTCATCCACATCGACTGACCAATTAATTGAGATAGCATGGCTTTTGATTGCTGTTAAATTTGTCTATCAGATTACGGAACGGCTTGCAGAATAATATTACTGTTTTTTCTAAATCCGATGTACAATACATCGTTATCACAATAGCCATCAAAATTTCTCCATTATCTAGTGTCTCTGAAATACTCGACTGCATATGAAAGGGATCTTAGACATATAATATAATGTTCACTACACACATTTTATAACCCTATTACTTCTAGTGAGTGTGCTCTGTAAGGATGGGGATGAAACCCATATTTATGATAAGACCCATGTGTATATGAACAGCAGTCGACTGTGTCAAGAATTTGAAATCTTTCGGTGAGCAATACGAAAAACGAATTCTAACACGCCTTTTAGATTGGTGTTCTTTTGGGACTCCATTTACTGGCGTCAAATCATCTTAAAGAGTAACTGTAATAACATTATCTTGAGAAAACTGTTCTGATTTCTTCGTAATATGTTTCGCCCATTAAAATTAGTAAAGATTAAAAGATAGGTTCATAGACACCATATTATGCCAAGCTAGTACAAGAAATAAGTACTACATGGAACATAACAAATACCCTCGGAGTAGCAGTTATGTAAAATTATTAATCCGGTCACAATAAGACAACACTGTCACTTCATGCCTTTGTCTACAGATCATAACTGTATACACAATCGTTTCCAGATCACAGATCTAAGGAAATTCGGTTAGTCAGAACTTCAACTAACAGATTTGAAACCAGTTAAAATTCTAGCGCTAGAACCAAAAAATAGTTGACATAGTGACCACGTTTTGATATTGAGTGAGAACATTCTGTTTTCCAGACCTAGACAAAATTCATATGTATGTACCTGCTTGGACCGAGCTAAAACTTTATGACCATCTGCGACGCACCTTGCCGATTTATGGTTTGATGACCGGTAAGAAGTTTTTTTATATCGATAACCAAAGTCTTCATGAGTTCTGTTCTTCAATATTTGAGAGGCTTAAAATGTCGTCACTAAAATTAAAGCAGTCTCGAATTCCAGCTTTTGGTATATATAATAAGGTCTAAACTGTACGGAAGTAGAAATGTAAAACTTAGAAAGTGTTCCTGAAGGGTTTACTGTGGTTAGTCATAACCATCTATTTCTTCAATCTTTTATTCATGTAAGATCGATTAAACGATAAGCAACATATGTGGTAAGTTCGAATTCCCCAGAAAGTCTCGTATAGAAAGCAGGTTCTCTGAAGAACATATTAGTACCTGTACGTCTTTATTTTACTAAGCACAAAAACATTATAACCATTGTAACGGAAAGAGAACGATGGAAATCCCTCTGCAGCTTCTTTGTTGAACAGTATTGTCAGTTATTTGTTCCTTCTCCCTTTTGTGTATTCCAACCTTTGTTCCGATCTCGTTTAACCATATCTTTTGTTCTTCAGTCTTCCTCGTTTGAGCCTTTATTATGCGATTTTGATTAAAGACTTATCCTTTGTTACCTAGGTTACCATTTCATGTTGCCAGACCATTGACAGGAAGGTCGTGTTTGACTAAGCTCAAGGTCACGGCATGGTTCAGTGTGTGATTGTTAACCTCTTGACCGTCTGCTTGGGAGAATTGCTGAAATCGCTGCAGATAGATATTTGATCCCATCTTATTGGGAATACTTGTATTGATTCTCAGGTATCAAACCCTTTAGTATTAACTGTCTCTTTCATTGTTTAGCGCGCTACTTTGCGTTAGAGAAGCTTGTGACTGTATAGCACAGGCTGTACCGTTTGAGGTATTTTGTATTTTGATGTAATTTGTTCTGTTTTCTAAATTATAGCCGTTTATATTGAGCACAGAGTTTGTGTTCTGATATAATATAATACGAGTATCTCAAAAACGCGTTGTGAGCTATACAGAGGAACGTGGTCTGGTCTAATCAAATAAATTTAGGGTTCGTCAGTCCGTTGTTCCAACCGAATATTGGCTGTTCGGTCGCTACAACCATAGTAGGTTGGGATATAACAAAAAATACATATTACAACC